TGAGGCAAGAGAATCACTTAAGCCTAAGAGTTTGAGGTTGCTGTGATACCACCACACTCTACTGAGGTTGGCATAGTGAGACTGTCTCAAAAAGGGTGGGGGGGACATGGATGGAGAGAGAGACAGGAGTAGATAGGAAAGAAGAGAAAGACTGAGGAGAGAGGGAAGGAAATGGCAAGTGGAGAGAGAAAGGCAGATACTTGATGAACCTTTTTCCATTCATAGGGTGTGGTTGTAATAGCCCCTCACACACAAACACATAACACACATATTTTTGAAGGGTTATTTTGAGGATTGGGGGCATAATTTATGCCTATAGGTCTGCCAAGGTCTAACCTCAATTCAGCTCTTGGTGGTTGGTAGGGGGAACTGGCCACAGCTCAACTGGTAGGGCCCCTCTGACTAGACGGCGTTGGGCACCTCTCCCGCAGGCTTGGAGGAGGATGAAGATGAGGAGGTGGCAGCCACGACTTCCCGCCACTCGGTATTTGGCCGCGCCCTGCAGGCTGGAGAGCTGCACTGGAGTGACAGCCACCTGCAGAAGATCCTGGCCAGTGACTCCTACAGTCCCAGCCTCACAGGCAGTGTGCGTGGTGATAAGATGACCTTTGACCCCCAGGGCCGGCCACTCTGGCTGGGTGAACCTTTCCCTACTGCCTGTGCTCGTGTGGATGCCCTGCGTGCCCATGGATACCCCCGTCAGGCACTGCGGCTGGCTGGTGCCATAGTCAACACACTTCGACTACAGCGGTGGCATCAGCTTGAGAGCTACAAGCAGCAGAAAAAAGGTGGGCACTAATGTTGTCATCTTGTCCCTATGGCTACAGACACAAATGCCAACTGCTGGGAGCTATGGCAAACTGCATACAGTGCTACTCAGCATCCCATCAGGGAACTAGGACCATTCTAGGTGTCTCATGTAGAAAGGAATTTAGCACAGGAGTTTGAGGGCTCACAAAACATTGGAGCTGTAGAATTGAAAGTTAGGGAAGCCGCCGATCAAGTTCAACAACTCAAAATTGTAGGGATTGCAGCAAACTGTGAACAGTGTCCTGCAACCCCCACAGGGGGGCAGTTTCCAAGAGGACACTCATAACCTCTGGCAAAACATCATGTCTGTGCCCTGCACATGGCCACACACCACTCTCCTGCTGCTCCAGGAAAATAATAGCCTCATTCTCTGAGCTGCCAAATCTCGTGCAAAGGAGTCTGGGAAATGTAGTCTTTAAGCTTCCAGCCTCTGGGGTTGGGAGGGCAACCACATACCTTCCAGGAACATGGACGGAGTATGGCCAGATCTTCCAGTTTTTCTTTTTCTTTCTTTCTTTTTTTTTTTTTGGAGACAGAACCTCAAGTTGTCACCCTGGGTAGAGTGCCCTGGCATCACAGCAACCTCCAACTCCTGGGCTCAAGCGAGTCTCCTGCCTCAGGCTCCCAAGTAGCTGGGACCACAGGCGCC